TTGAGTTTCTAAAAGTAAGGATAGATTCATTAAAAAGTTGCTCTTTCTAAACTTGTATTATACTTAACGACGAAATCCTGCAACCCAATAATTTGGCCTAAGAAATAAGTAGACAAAACACAAATGTAAATCTGGGCATATTATTAATGAAACTGAAATGTATTTTGTACCAAAACAAAGGTGCAAGCATTTTAGTAAGTCTGTCCGTCAGGTTTGTAAAGTATCAGTGAAACAATTCGAGTGCATTTAATGAGGTAAATGGGCTTAAGCTCAAAAGTTCAATTAAAGGGTGGCTACTTTTCTTAAGGTGACAACTGATGTTATAATTTGAATATACACATACAGAAATATTACTGAAGTTACACCTTACTAACATTGATAGATACAGTTCCAATTTACATGTCTGTCCAACAGCCTTTTGACCCTGCAGCATTTATCAGGCTGAGGGCTTCTCTAATGAAGGAGCCTGGTTCCATCTCTCACCTATGAGTCAACTGTTGTGCCAAAATAGCAGCAGCAGCAGCAGCCGGAGCAGCAAATCAATGACGATGATGAACAAGAAAATGCAAGACACATTCGAAGTGAGAAAAAGAGAAATCGGCACCAGTTTTGTTTCACAGCAATGACCTCTGTGACCACCTACATTTCACAGTAGCTCATTAACTGTTGGACATGACAGTGTCCTTGGGCAAACCTGAGAAATACAGAGAAAGCCCAGAGCTGTTATAAGTAAGTAAGAAGAGTGGGAAGAAAATAGAACTGTAGTTATCATTACAAACCCACTAACGTATTTTTGTGTATTCAAAATATAAGAACAGTTGGAATCCATAGGGTCCTTGTTGGAGGTGTTGGGTTAAGACACAGCCGTAGTTGTTAAAAAATATGATCAAGGAAAATATCCTAAAAACTTATAATTAACTGTTCCTAAAACTTCTTCTCGTTAACAGAAAAACACACACATACACAAGAGCAAGTGTGTTTTTCGTTCTTAACCCCACTACCCAAACATTAACTATTAGAACTATACAATATGCCCAATATTCCGTATTCATATCCAAACTCCAAACTAATCTTTCACCTCAGAACGCCCTGTGAATGCCCCTAAACCTTCTCGTAAGAATAGGCTAATGTTATTATGAACACAAAGACAATTGTTCAGCTATTCTTTTTGTGACTTTGCTTTGCCCTCCATTCATTGCTACAGTGTAACCACACCTTTATCCGAAACCATAACCATTACCAGTTAACACCAATCCTCAACTTGACCTGAATGTAAATTGACATTTTAATCCTTATATTAACTAAAGGAAAATGGAGAATGGTTTACCATAAGGACACCAGAAATGGTCTTAAGTAGGTATCAAATCTAAGCACACACACACTCACACGCTCAGAGGTGCAAAATTATATTCCCTGTGTCCCCAAGAAAGTGCTGACAACCAATCATAGTTGGGAGTTCATTCGCAGGTCAGATTTCAGCCTGCTGATAAAGTGATGGATTAAGATGCCTTGTTAAAACATTTGGACCTTGTTAACACTTCTTTCAAAACACAATGATTTTAACATCATTCTTTTTGACAACTGACTGTGGCCAAGGGCCTGGATACTGAAGAACAATAAGACAGAATTAAAAAAAAAAAAATCAGCAATTTTACTAATTCAAATAGAAATAATTTTGTAAGAAAATCTATGTCGACAGTTCTTTTGTCATGTATAAAACACAATTCTCCAAAAATATCAATTGGCAAAACGTTGTTGTTTTTACCTTAACATTCACATACTACACAGACATAGCAGTCTGTGAATGTGTACAATATGTGGCCACTAGATGGAAGAATCCAGCTTTCCACTATCAAAGAACTGTCCCCTTGTTATTATGTGTCAGTTTGTGTCCTGCAGGATTTGTCACTGCTGTCATCCAATCAAAGCACTGATGTCCCAGAAAAACGGAGGATTGAAGAGACACTTGGTTAAACTTCACAGTTCAGGAGTTCCTTCACTTTCGTCTTTTTTTTACTCAACTCCCTCCAGAAATCTTAGATATTTTTTGCTCTATTTGCTCCCCTTGACATGAATACACATATGTAATACA